GGTGTGACTTAGATGCGAGTGTAACAAGTGACGGGGGCGGATGTCTGGGTGGGGGGGGTGGGGTGGGGGTGTGTCCCTCTTTGTCCGTTTTGGGGGTGGGGGGGCGGGGTGGGGGTGGGGGGGGGGGGGGGGGGGGGGGGGGGGGGGGGGGGGGGGGGGGGGGGGGGGGGGGGGAGGCAGAGCATGGGGTGGCCGGGCATTTGATTGTCTTTGCTGGCCCTGGGGTATAGGTAGGGCATTTGACTGACCTTGTTCTCCCAGGGGCAGGGGAGGGGATATTTGAATCTTTCTTCGCCCGACGTGAAGATATTTGACTGCGGACTCGGACGAAAAAGACTGAGACCGAAAATATGTTTCCCGCTTCCACGCTTCACACATGCACCGTACGGTTTGAAAAGATCAGGAAATCATGGAGGCCAACGGGAACAAGTGAACGCTGAGTGGATTTCACTGTTTTGTCTTCAAATTTCGTTTGTTTTAGCGTGTTTTTGATAAATTGAACCTCTTAAGATGCTGTGGTATAAAAGTCAACGGAAGTAAATAGAAAGAAAGTCGATTCTTGCAAGTACAATTGATCAGTGTATGGCTCATTCGCTACAGTCACTGTATAAAGCTTGTAAAACAGACTTTCTTTGTACCCTGTACTAAGAATGGTATATTTAAACTTACAAAATGTGGACTTTCTCCTGAAAGGTTTCTGTATTCTACGCAGTGTAACAAGGATTATGGTTAAAACGTATAATTGCACCTGAAACAGGGACATGTATCTTTGGTGATGCAGCAACGTTTCTAAATAAAGATTGCAGAGTTATATTTGGAGATATTTTCACTGTGCCTTTCTTGGGTTCTGCCTTGGGATATTTGATAGCAATTTGTAGCCCAGGGTGGGGAAATTTGGTTGCATTTGACTGGAATGATTTGCTAGTGGGCAGGGAATTTGACGGCAAATTTTTGAAAAATGTCAAATCCCCACCCCATGCCCTGCCTCTCCCCCTCCCGCCGGCTTAACATTGATAGGTGCATAAAAAGTACATACTGAATAAAAGTAAACTACTAAAATCGAACTGATTTACGTGATTGCCGTGCAGGAGCCAAAAGAAGAATAACAACTTTTAAGCTTCTTTTTAAAATCCCCATGGAGTTACATCAGTTACATACCCTTAGATCCTGAGGGAGAAAATTCCACAAGGCAGCACCGCTACAGGAAAAGCTGCGCTTCAGGTACTCTGCCCTAGGTTTAGACAATGCAAGTTCCCCTCCCCGTTTCCTCTACCCCTCCCCCATTTTCGCGGTGTACAACTTAACTCGCTCCCCACTCACCGCCGCGCTCTACTATCTGAACGCCTGGGACAGGCTATCGCATTCTAGGCACAAGGCTGTTTATACAGCTAATGTAACCTTAAAACACTAAGAATAAATCATTTCCTAATCTACCTTTTTCAAGGTTACACATCTGCCGGATAACAATTTTACTGAAAGAGTGAGAATCAAAATCTTCTCCGTTAGAGACACAACCCACATTCTTAGACAAAATAAATGGAAAACCTAGACCCCCCCCCCCCTCCCCACAAATCAAAAATTGGAAAATGGCGCGTTTTTACCCTTCGCGCGGCTTCATCCTTGATTTGGGGTGGGGGGGGTGGGGGTTTGCTGTTCCATTTTATTTTGTCCAAGATTGCAGCCCTATGCGACAATTGCTCCACTCTCATCTCGGAAAAAACTATCCAACTATAACAGCTTTTTTAAAAAAAAACACACAAAAATCAATAAGGAAATTAAAATAAGCAACCTTAGCAGATTCCAAACAAAACACAAGAGCTAGCCACAATTGCTTCAAAAGAATGACGCTCTCCTTCCAAGAGGACATTTTTAATAATTAAAAAAAGGAAAGAAACATCAAAGAAATCAGTATTATGTTCGAATATTTGAACTACTTTTCCCAGTTAATAAGTAAACATGCTTAGCAGAAAATGTTTAACGCTTTGTAATATTCTAGCAATTTCTGACACTGAGTCGCGAGCCGACCCTCAGACCTTGTACGGAACACGGAAAAACTGCCCAACTGGAACAGCCCCGGGGAGCAGCCTTATTTAAAAACAACAAAATCATAACAACTTCTTAGTCTCCCAAGCCAATAGCTATAATAAATATTTCCAGTGCAATATAATCCTTCNCAACTTAACTCGCTCCCCACTCACCGCCGCGCTCTACTATCTGAACGCCTGGGACAGGCTATCGCATTCTAGGCACAAGGCTGTTTATACAGCTAATGTAACCTTAAAACACTAAGAATAAATCATTTCCTAATCTACCTTTTTCAAGGTTACACATCTGCCGGATAACAATTTTACTGAAAGAGTGAGAATCAAAATCTTCTCCGTTAGAGACACAACCCACATTCTTAGACAAAATAAATGGAAAACCTAGACCCCCCCCCCCTCCCCACAAATCAAGAATTGGAAAATGGCGCGTTTTTACCCTTCGCGCGGCTTCATCCTTGATTTGGGGTGGGGGGGGTGGGGGTTTGCTGTTCCATTTTATTTTGTCCAAGATTGCAGCCCTATGCGACAATTGCTCCACTCTCATCTCGGAAAAAACTATCCAACTATAACAGCTTTTTTAAAAAAAAACACACAAAAATCAATAAGGAAATTAAAATAAGCAACCTTAGCAGATTCCAAACAAAACACAAGAGCTAGCCACAATTGCTTCAAAAGAATGACGCTCTCCTTCCAAGAGGACATTTTTAATAATTAAAAAAAGGAAAGAAACATCAAAGAAATCAGTATTATGTTCGAATATTTGAACTACTTTTCCCAGTTAATAAGTAAACATGCTTAGCAGAAAATGTTTAACGCTTTGTAATATTCTAGCAATTTCTGACACTGAGTCGCGAGCCGACCCTCAGACCTTGTACGGAACACGGAAAAACTGCCCAACTGGAACAGCCCCGGGGAGCAGCCTTATTTAAAAACAACAAAATCATAACAACTTCTTAGTCTCCCAAGCCAATAGCTATAATAAATATTTCCAGTGCAATATAATCCTTCCACTTGCAAGGAGACAGTGGTTAAATCGAAAATAAACTTGTCTAGTGGAAATGTAATTGTTTAGATCGGTTATTTGAGCCACTTTTCTCATTCAAAAGGCACAGACATTAATAAGCTGCCTGTTGTATAAATAGAATAGATAGACGACCGCATTCCAATTAACATTTCCTCCTTGTTCTTCCCACACTTTATTGTCTAATTTAGTTTCGTCTTGTTATAAAAGAAACAAAAGCCTAACGGCAAAATACAATGTGACGATAATAGATGATACAGATTTTCCGGGTTGTGGGTATAAATTCGTTAACTCCAGTCTAGTTGGGCTCAGTCAGAGAATTCGTCTACGCCAAATCCACGGAGACAAGTGAAGGACTGTGCCGTGCTATTTTCAGAGGGAGCTTACTGGTAAGACTTAATCAGGTTAATATTTTTTCTTTTATCTTCCAAAAATGCAACCATAACAATAGCGCTGCGCACAGTTTCTAAATATAGATAGGCCCCCTGCGTGACTCAGACAAGCTTTGCAGTCAGCTCAAAGGTTTTGTATGAGGGGCGTCGATAAAACCAGGAACATGGAACATCCCGGAACATTCCAGAACATTCCGGAACA